TTCGGTTCTGTTTGACGTTTACTTTTGAATTTCTGTTTTCTAACAAATTCATAATCTGTTGATAAGCACCGGAACTAACGCTAGGATCGACTTCTGAATATTTTTGATTCGTTGGGAATAATACTTGTGATGCAGGGATGTGGGGGTATGTATTGCCACCACTGTATGGGCTCACCATTCCTACTCTCTTCTTGTCTGAAGAGACAGCGTTAGGATCTCTTTGAGGCGGCGGCCATATCGGGTGCTCCGGAGGGAAACGACCGACGGGTGGATCAGGTAGTGGTGGGACTGGCATTGGAGATACTATTAGGTAAATATTTATAAGATATTCAGATTGAATATAATTGATTGTAGAAAAGGGTAATAAATGTTGTGTTTAATAGTGTAGTGACTGTACCTGGTGATTCATAGAAGGCCAGCATAGCTACCACTCCGGCCAACACAGAGATGGCATAAACGGCTGAAGTTAACGGTTTACTGAAGACTGAACGGACAGACGACTCGATTCCGGCTAAACATAATAATTGATTAATAATGCGATAATTGATTGTCAAGACATGTCTTACTGCGGAAGAAGTCGCTGTCCTTGAATTTCATGACATTGTTGATGATGGAGACGATTAGGTTCTCACTGGCGCTGACACTACGGGTCTCACGAGCCCTCACATCACTTTTGTCTTTGCATTGGACCAACAGAACCGTCAGTAATAAAAAGCAAAATAAAATTAATTGAAACTTTAATTTGCGACTCATCTCAACAAATAAGTTGCAGTCAGTGTTCACTCAAATACTGAACACTTTACTGAAAAAAGTTTTTCAAAAGTTTTTCAAAGAATATCAGTGACGAGAATCGCCTTCTTTTGAGGTCAAGTTGTATACAATCAGATTGGCTGACATCACATGCAATAAGACTGGATTCAAATCGTTTATATATTATATTTGGCAACTGTTTTGCAACTATTTTAAGCCAATCCTTAAAATCACAGGTATTACATACTGTATGGTACACTATCTTATGAACTATCTCTTAATGCTTTAATTTTCTCATACTTTTTTGTTTTATTGTTTTCAAATATATGATTGTGATTGTTTTATAATTATTTAAACACTTCAATGGTATAAATTATATTTGCCATTAACTGTCATTTAATAAGATTTATTCTCTGTATTTTATACAATGAATACTTTAAAATTACAATTCAATAAATATAGTAAATAAAATATAATACTGTATATAAATTTGTTAACTTGTTTTAATAAATGTCTTTTATTAAAGGTAAAAATATTAAAGTAAAACTTTGAAGTATTCACTAAAAAATACTTTAAACAACTTTTAGAAACTCGTTTTAATTTTATAAAATTGCAATTCAATGTGAGAAATATTATACCGGTAACAGATTTAGTGAAATTTTAAATTTGACAATATTTTATGATTAAAGAATACTTTAAAACAAATGTCTTTAATTAATTTTAAAATCTTTTTATTTCGAGTTAATAAATTTAAGTAATAAAAATAACGGTAAAGCAGTTAATAACTAATAAATTAGCTTATAAATTTAATAATATTTAGAAGTACCGTATATAAATTTTAAAACAATTTAATATAAATTTAATAAAAACAATACACTTTTTGATTTTATTCTTTAATTAGTATTTATTCTTGGAATTGAGATTTTATTTAAATTAATTTATTTAAATATTTTTTAAATTGTTAATATTTGTAATTACAATATATTTTTATAGATTTATAAGACAGACTTGTGATTAATACAAAAATATAATACTATTTAGACTTGCGTGTAAATTATTATATTTTTAATACAATATGTAATTTGAGATATAAAGGATTACTAAATATTTTGTAATTAATCAGAGCGTTAAACACATTTCTTAGAAATGAATTCATATTATTTATGATCCTTTTCTACAAATTTATTGAATCCAACAATTTTTGAGATAAATTCCTATTAGCTTCGGGTGCTCTTCAAATGATGGCTTCAATTATTTGATTCATTTCAGAGGTCTTTGCTCTCTAACCATATTTTGATATACTTTTTATAAATGAAGAGTTTATACAATTAGTTGCGATTGAAATATTTCTACCTTAAAGTTGCATCAATATTTGAATAATTTTAAAAATATAATACAACATTATATAATAATCAAAATTTTACTTAAAATCTCATATTAAAAAATTCATTGTAAAATATTTTGGTTACAAATATAGTTTAATAAGTATAAATAATTTAAATTATAAAACTAAGAATATTAACATAACAATTTTAATAAACCATTTTTTTGTAAACCAATTGGCATTAATTTATAAAATGATTATTAATTGGGAAAAAGATAAGGAAATATGAATTGGAGGTGAACCACGACCTCCATGTCTTCATAAAATAGGGTTCGTTTGCGTCGAACCCGCGGCGGGGGACCGGTTGTCAGGTTTACAGATCGGTATGGATTGGGAATTATTGGCATTGGAAAGGGCACTATAAGACTGATGTATAAAAAACCAATTGATATACTTTGACGTAACGTTTAATTTAGGAAACATATTGTGATACTAACCGAAGCATAGCCTGAGCGAAGGTATTGTCAAACGTAATCTGTCGGTCAAACGCATAGCTTTGTCTCGACTCAAATGCACGCAATGAATGATTACTTTTAAACTCACTTAGAGTTTGATGACAATTTGCCGAAACTAGTAAATTGTTTATTAAAAACAATAGCATGAATATTCGAGTAAACATTATTATACAGTACGATAGTATAATTTATGCACAATAATATTTTAGTTTAAGAATAATTTTGGAAATTTGCTGTATTTTCAATTATTTGTTGCAATTTCATGAAAAACTAGTAATACTGTACAATCAAATCATTATTTAAAGCGAAATTGTTTGAGATAAAGGATGTATTATAAATCCGGAACTGTCTTATAGTATTAGTAAGAATTTTGGTTGACAAACAATTTTTAAATAAAAATAAGTATACTATTTTAATTAAATTTTCTGATTAATATAAAATAATGATTTTTGTACTAACGCATCAAGGTGTAACTGTCTTATAGTATTAGTAAGAATTTTGGTTGACAAACAATTTTTAAATAAAAATAAGTATACTATTTTAATTAAATTTTCTGATTAATATAAAATAATGATTTTTGTACTAACGCATCAAGGTGCTTTAGATAGTTTAATTTTAAATTAATCTTTTAATTTATATTCTAATTTGATACTCACACTAAATTGATTTTAATATTTAAATATACTGAATAAGTAATAACATTAAGATTCATAGTCTACTGTATACTGTAGTACAGTAACTGTACAGTAAAATAATAGAATATTTATAAGATATAACTTGTAAGATTAAAATAGTTAGCAATTTAATGAAACAAAAAATTATAAGACCACTTTTTATTCACTTTATCAGTGAGGACTTTATAAGAACTTTTGAACCACTTGGTGGATGTTTTCAAGACTGGTACTGGTCTAGAGTTTTGAATTTTAATGCTATAAAATAAGTTAGTTTAATATTAGTATAAAATTATGTTCTGTAAACATTCATTTTCTATGTAAATCCAATTTAATAATATTTTAAATATAATTTTATCAGTTAATTTAACATATATGTATCAAATTAAATGTTAAAAATAGCACATTTTATTTTGAATAAAATATTATTGTAAATACAAATAATTGAATTCATTTGAACATAAAAGGCATGAATGCTCTAATAGTGGGCAAAGTGTTGAAATATTGGGTAACTGTCTTATAGTATTAGTAAGAATTTTGGTTGACAAACAATTTTTAAATAAAAATAAGTATACTATTTTAATTAAATTTTCTGATTAATATAAAATAATGATTTTTGTACTAACGCATCAAGGTGTTTAGATAGTTTAATTTTAAATTAATCTTTTAATTTATATTCTAATTTGATACTCACACTAAATTGATTTTAATATTTAAATATACTGTATAAGTAATAACATTAAGATTCATAGTCTACTGTATACTGTACAGTAAAATAATAGAATATTTATAAGATATAACTTGTAAGATTAAAATTGTTAGCTTAATGAAACAAAAAATTATAAGACCACTTTTTATTCACTTTATCAGTGAGGACTTTATAAGGACTTTTGAACCACTTGGTGGATGCTTTCAAGACTGGTACTGGTCTAGAGTTTTGAATTTTAATGATATAAAATAAGTTAGTTTAATATTAGTATAAAATTATGTTCTTAAACATTAATTTTCTAAGTAAATCCAATTTAATAATATTTTAAATATAATTGTATCAGTTAATTTAACATATAATATGTATAAAATTAAATGTTAAAAATAGCACATTTTATTTTGAATAAAATATTATTGTAAATACAAATAATTGAATTCATTTGAACATAAAAGGCATGAATGCTCTAATAGTGGGCAAAGTGTTGAAATATTGGGCTAAAAACAAGTCGAGGAAGAATGTGAAGAACACTTTAGCCATTCTATAGGCCAATACATTCCACTTGGCTTTTCCGATGGCCGATGATATGAAACCAATGATATTAATATTCTTCGGGAGAGTCTCTTTCACTGAACTTGTCTTCACTTTCTCTTTGCTGAGAGAAACGGTTTGATTTTCATATGATTGAGACGAGTATTTAAGTCCAAAAACAGCAGTTATTTCGTGAATTAATATTAAATTAAAGCATAAAATTAAAATTAATTTCATTTTATTGCAATTCTATTGCTTTATTAAAGCAAACATTAATACAATTTTTAAATCAAAACTTATATTAACTAATTAAAATATTCTTAAAGAAACCCTATTTAAGTGAATAGACTTTAGGATGAGATAAATCCTAAAACCGGAAGGAATTTAATTTTGACTAATCCTTACCTTAATCCATGAGCAGTGTTTTCGACTCTAGAATACAATACAAACAATTATAAAATCCTAAAACTTATACATTATTTACAATCAAAATAAATCTTAATTTAAATCTTTTTACTCTTAGGTTTACGTTTGATTGTAAATAAAGAGTTAATATTTTCTGAATTGAGTGCTCTCTCGGCATTCAGTCGATTAAAATAATGAAACGTTTGCTGTAAAAGTGGAGATATTTTGTTATAGTTATAAATAATTGTTATGAATAAGAGAATGAGTGGTAACGTATAAACTGATCCATGAGTGATGTCGTGCTCGATGTAATGATTTGAATTGACATTTGCTTTCGATTTAGGATTAAAAGTAAGGGTCAGATGTGTGTGACTCGTGTTGGCCCGGAATGACTTGGAAGGCGTTTCCAGTTCATAGAGATTTGGGGATAAACTCGATTCCAAACGAATGAAATAATTTCTGTTATCGATGTTAAGCGCCGGCAGAAAGAAAAATGGACTCGAAGTGAATGCTATTGTAGTGATCGGTTGGTCACCGTTTACATCATTAAATAGACGAACCTTTCAAGAGATGTGTCAAGAATTATAATTTATATTCAATACAAAAAACATTTCTAATAATAACTTACTTTAAGAGACGACAAGTACTCAGGACTTGTGATCACATCTCCGCTGACATCCATTTGAGTTATTCTTCTGAAGATAATTAGGCGAACATTACTTATGTCGCGGTCTTCAACACGAATCAAATGAATCCTTGGAATCGATTGATTAAAGAGTTTATTCCTCTCATCATTTGCCTTAATTCTGATGGCGTACTGACACTCAGGCCTTAAGCCTCTAACCCTAAAACTTCCGTTCGTTTCACTGACGGCCTCTTCTTGCAGTTGAGAGCAATTAACCCGAGAATCCGTTACAATATTTCTCAAACCGATCGCTTCAACCACTACTCCGGGCTCTGGTTCTCCATTAAGAGAGTCAGTGACACCGATGCAACTAAAGGCCACTTTCTTGGCGCGAATATCAATCTTAATATCGGATCCGTCATCAACAGAAGTCATTTGAGAGAAGGGCTCAAAATCGTACTCTTTTTTCATAACTCGTATGAAATATTGTCCGGAATGTAAGTCAGGGAAAGACAACTGACCGCTCGCGGGGGTCACAGAATTCTTACGGTAATTCTCAGGTCCGCCACTGATTGACACCAAGACATCAGAGAGGGGTGCGTTGGCATCATCTCTGACGTGAACAGATATCTTAGACAATAGAATGGCATCGAAATGACCCAATTTATTGGCGATATTCTTGAAGAAATATCCGCTCTTTTCAGCGCTTACTGTCATCTGAACGTCACTATCAAAAGGTCCCGCCATATATTTTCCAAGTGAATCAGTTTTAGTGGTCAATAAGACCTGTTCGTCGTGGTTTATCTTAATGGCAACGCCTTCCAGTTTAGGATAGATCTGGCCATTAATAAAAAGACCAATTTTGCCCTTAAATGTGACCGCATTTTCAAGACATTCGTCTTCGAGTTTAGTTTCAAACGAATTCGGTTTGAATAAGAGTTGACTCGAAGAGGGCTCTAAGTATATGTTGACCATTGGTTTAACTAAAATCGATATCAAATACTCAAATAAGAGCTCATTATCTGATTTAAACGACTTGTTTCAAACGAATTCGGTTTGAATAAGAGTTGACTCGAAGAGGGCTCTAAGTATATGTTGACCATTGGTTTAACTAAAATCGATATCAAATACTCAAATAAGAGCTCATTATCTGATTTAAACGACTTGTGTTGCACTAAATGTAAACGCTGTGCAAATTCTTCGCCACCAAATGGTTTCATTTTAACAGTCAATACGATATCTGAAACGTTGAGAGTTGTTATAACATTAGCCGATAGTTGGTGTTTGACAGCAGTTCTTGAGATGAGTTTTCCCGCATCTTTGGATGTGTCGAAAGTGATGACTTCACTGGAGGTCTCACTGAATTTATGGCATCCTTTTGGCAAAATTGAATAAATTCCGGATTCAGAGACACAATGTTTCAAACTGTGATCACTTCCTATGGCAAGAGATTTCACTTGATTTGATGGGTATTTCAGTTCAATGTCTATGACATGCGAAAAGTATAGCGAAAGTATGTATCCTTTTTGTGTAAATTCAATGTCTTTCAAGTCTTTGTCAATGACTTCAATGGTGTGAGTGTTGGAGAGCCAACACCAAGAATCGATATCTTTAGTAATAGAAATCTGATAAACATCGGGGGATATGTTATCAAATTGAAACTCAAACTTATTTTGCGATATTTTACGCAAATTAGAAAATTTCAAATTTTTAATCAATTGATTGTCGATTTTATGAATTAACTTAATCTGCAAGTCATTGGTGGCGTCCAGTGTATTGATTCTTCCGGTTATAGAAGCTGTAAATTCAGTGAACTTCAGGTCCAGAATTGGTTCACTTTTAACAGTAATACTCATTTGCGAAGGAAATAATTTAAAGTTTTTATCCAAATCGGAAGTGATTGGACTCACAGTATATACATCAGGTCTCAAAGACACACAGAATTTATCGTTTACATCAGCGGTGATCACTTCACTGTATTTATTACTCTTAAAGTTCAAAGTTATCTTCAATGAAGTCTTCGCCGACTTTAATGCAAAAGTTCCGCAAACATCGAAAGCATTGGGAGTTATGTCAGGAATTTGTGAAGAAATTGGCGAAATCTTGACGGAAATCGGATCAAAGGTCATGTGGGGAGCCGTCACTGATATTAGATAACTCCCAGTCTTGACATTTTCGACATTATAAACACCATTAGTTTGAGTCTTAATCAATTGTTGACGTCCAGTGCTCTGGTCTTGGAATTTGATCTCAGCGTTGGGAACACCTCGTTGGTCGACCACAACACGTCCGGCAACACTAAACCCCTCGATCTCGAAGACGGTTTCGATTTTGATGTTTTCATTCTTTACTTCAAACTCCAATTCTTTAGGTTTTACATCAAACTTAACATCGTTTCCGCCATAAAAGGGAATCAATACATAAGAACCGAACGGAACCGTTGGGAACCGAAATAAACCGCTTTTGTCCGAAGAAATGTGACACAAATATATCAAATCATTTGCCACTTTCTTAATGGGGATCTGCTTTGAATCGCAGCCCAAAACCGATCGACGCGTTCGGGAGAAGAGGGCGAAGAGCACCGAATGGATGGGCTCGCCGTCACTCATAACACTTCCGGACACTTCGTATCCTAATATCGATAAATTGTTTTCGGGATTTGTTGAGACATCGATGTTATCATTCACTACAGTTATCTCGATCCGACTTTTCTTCAGTTTCAACGATTCGTGAGACGCATCGATGGCATACTCTCCGGGAAGTACTTCTTTGAATTCATAGTAACCATCATCTGTGGTGAGAGTTGTCTTCAATACGTTATCATTCCTTTTGGCCCTCAATGTGATAGCGATTCCTTCAAATCCATTATAAGTTGGTTTAATAAGACATCACAAACTGTAACATCAACTGAATTACCTGAGGGTCCAGTAGTTGATCCGTCGCTAAACACCTGACAAGCAATGAATCACAAGATTAGTGACCAATCAATCAATTCAAGAGAAAATGCAATACTTTTCCCGAAACAGTGAATCCTTTGAATGCGAAGTTAATGTCATTTTGTTGGGAACAGAGATCACTTTTGCCGTCGAAGTTGAGGTCAACAAACATGGGGTCAAAAGTCCATCCCTTCGGCGGCTCTATCTTCAGCTGATATAAGCCTTTGTCATACAATGGGATGAAGTAATAGCCGTTATTAGGGGCACAATCAGTCGAGTATTTCACGATCCCTTTGTCGGTCAGACTATCATTGAAACACATTTTGAGGTCAAATGAGATGCAAATGACATATAAAAGACTAAATGATTAAATGACTTACAGTTTGATAAATATTTGGTTGTAATTAATATTAACGATAGACTTGACGAAACCCCCGCAACCCATCACATCATTACCACAACACTTGTCCACCAATACTATGCCAGATATGAATGTAATCACCAATAAGTGGCACAATTGCCTCACTCGTAGACCCATTGCTTATATGCGATGGTATGGTATGAGATGTGGTCACAAATAAGATCACAATTGAGTCCAATTGCTAATCATTTGTATAGTTAGCGTGTATGAGGAAAGTGAGTGATCACCACATGCTTACAGTCTATGGCATAGACTCTATGCATTGCTATGCCATACAATTTGTAGTGCAATCAATACAGTGCACCGGCACTACAGTACAGTAACGCTGTATACAAATATTGCATTTCCCTGACATTATCAATGCCATCATGAATTGCATAAATCAATAGTTTACCACTAGATCTTTTTGTATTGTTAACTCAATTTCCAAATCATACAATGCATGACAATTTCATATCATTTTATGGATGTTTTTCACTCAATCTTAAACTGCTGGTCACTTACAATAATTGTAATGCAATCAGTGGTTTAAAACAGTGAAGATTTGTCGACTATAACCCCAAGAACTGTAGCCCAGGCACTAAGATTAGATTGATCACACCACAGTTTATCATGTTAAATTAGTAAATGACAGTCCAGTATGTATTGGTCCGAAATGATAGAATTTATTGTTAATCATAATAATAAAAGATTTTGTGTATAAAGAGACTAATTTATACAAAATTTGCAATTATAACTGTAAACTAAACAATCATTTGATAGAAAATAATTATGATATTACAAATCAAATGAAATCTCAATTTCAAAATAACTTTTGAAACAAAAAAACAATAAATAATTTAACGATTTATTGTGACTTGAGATGAAGAATCCAATAAACGATTGAAACAAATAAAAGACAACAATTGGTCTAAACTCCTAACTAAAGCCAATACTATTGTCTCTTTTTGACGGCTTTAGATTTGGAGGCCTGGGGTTTGGGTCCACCAGTGAACAGACTGGTCATCATCTCCGAGAGCTCCGGGACATCGTATTTAGGCATTTGGATGTTTTGCATCTCCTGTGCCATCAAATGAGTGAATGAGTGCTATGAATGGCAAGCAATTGGTGTGATAAATACCCGTTGAGTGTCGGCGTCGGCGGCGTTCATCATTTTAGGCAAAACCATAATCAGAAAGAGTGGCAAAACCATCATCAGTACCATTGGGTTGAAGAGGAAGTCGGTCACTTTCCAGGTCTCGCGGATCTGGAAGTACTTGAATTGACCCTTACTTTTGAATTTCAGTGGATATGAGAGCTGTTGGACGGCCGACGTCTGGATGTAATTCACTTTTCGCGCCCGGATTTTGCCCTTTGAGTTGATGTCCACTCGGATCGGTTCGTAGAAGTAGTCCGGGTTTGAGATTTCCATCAAATATGAGCCCGGATTCAGATGAGTCACAGAGAAGGAACCGTCACTTCTGGGGATCAGTTACACGCATGGCATTAGCAACAGTGGTATGAATGGTGGATAATGTCATGTCATACTTAAGAAACGCCAGGTGTTGGCCGTAGTTGACGATAATCTTCGTATTCCTCAGGAACTCGTTCATCGATTCAGTCATATCTGAATATGGGATCACTTTGCCTTCGATGGCATAAAACCTGTTATTATTATCTATGATTTCATTGCTATTGCATTCAATTAAATAGATTTGTGTCACAAATAGTGATATCAAAACTAAACAGTAATTTAAACTCATTTTAATGACAATCACTTGAAATGAAAAATCTCTAAAACATTACCTAATCTTCAGTTCAATACAAACACCAAAACATAACACAAATTACGGCCACTTTTTGACACTTTTTTGGTAAATTAAAATTAATTATAGTTTTAATAATTAAATCATAAATTGCTAACAATTTAAACACTGAATGAGTTGCAAATAATGGCAATAAAGTGGTGTTGAAGTACTGATAGTGGGATCACCTGAAGACTGACCCCAAGCTGTCAGTGAAGACTAGCCATAGAAGACGTCTGACTGCAAGACATGTCAACAATTTGGCGATAATTTTGCAAACATTTCAGCAGTTTTTGAAAGATTTGTTGATTTCATACTTAAATTGCTTTCAAACACTAATCAGTGATGAATCAAATGAATGATATTTTGTGGTAACAATTGATAGTGATTTGTGTCCACAAACAGACAATAAGATGAGTTCGAGTCCATTACCAGAGCCGGTGACCACTCGTATGCGTCAAAGACATCGGACTGAGTCGATGGCAGCCATCGAGAAGTGGAGTCAATACATGTCCCGTCTGTTCCGATTGGGACACATGGACTTCGAGTTCGCCATCTGGCAGATGATCTATCTCTTCGTTTCACCCAAAAAAGTGTATGAAAAGTGTTGAGACATTTGCCATCAATTGCTGAGTTGTGTTGTATTGATGTCCCAATAGTTACCGTAATTTCCAGTACCGGAAGCAGACGAAGAACCAGTTCGCTCGCGACGACCCGGCGTTTCTCGTCCTACTCTTCGTGTGGTTCGTCATCTCAGCCACAGGTCTCTCACTGGCCCTCAGACTTCACTTCTTAGGATTTGTAAAGTTCTTGTTTTGGGTGACATTCGTGGACTGTGTCCTCGTGGGCGCACTCGTGGCCACACTCTTCTGGTTCGCCACCAATCGCTATATGCGGACGTCTGGTACGGAAGACGTCGAGTGGGGCTACGCTTTTGACGTCCATTTGAATGCATTCTTCCCTCCTTTGCTGATATTACATGTGTTTCAGCTATTCTTCTACAACGGTATTCACCACTCATTGCATATCATTAATGATATACTAATCGTGTGATTGTCTTAGTGTTCATAAGTGAGGACTACTTCATCGCGCGTTTGTTTGGCAACACGTTGTGGATGATTGCTGTCACGTATTACTGTTACATCACATTTCTGGGCTACAGTTGTCTCGCAATCGTCAAACACACCCAAACCATACTCTACCCTTTGGTTCCCTTATTCTTCGTGTATTTGGTGTCCATAATCTCCGGAATTAATATCTGTAGAGTTATGATGGATTTCTATCACTACAGAGTCTATTAAATGTGTTTATTACCGTAATATATTAATAGTTCATTATTTATACAATAAATAAATAAAATATAAATTTATAAATATTTAATATAAATTGAATCCATGAATCAGTTTATGTATGGATTCAATGTGTTTGTGCTATTTCTGAGAAGACATTCAGCACATCGTCTATAGTGAACGATAGGGTAATGTTGGCGTCCGGATAGCACCGTTCGATCATCTCTTGGATTGTCTTATACTGGGTTATGAACTCTCCTTGCATTGAACGCCAAATCACCTAAAATTCAATTTGAATTCAATTAGAATATAGCGAACATTGGGGAGCATTTGTCTATTCATTTGGACAAAAGCCTTGTACGAAAGCATTTAGTGTTGCATTTTATTCATAAACTTTATACATTACACTGAATAAAATTTTTGGTAATTAAAATGCATGAGAGAGAATTGAACGGAAAGGGACAGTAATGGTGGTGCTATGATACAGACCTGTATGAGATTGGTGTCCGGCTCACACGCGTGTTTCTCCACTTTCCTATACATCTCTTCCAACCCTTTCTTAACTTCTTTCAAATTGCAGTCTTTAATGATTTTTCTCAACTCCTGTTTACTGAACGCCAACTGATATCCAATCTCTTCCGCTTTGACTCCTTGCGATACCTTTTGCTGAACGCCTTCGAAGAAAATGTTCAGTTTTTCGAGGGGTCGACCGAAATAGCGTTTCACGTAATCCTTAAGCGCTTCTGTGTATCGATTCCTCGCCTCTTTGCGTTCATTCTCTAAACACAAGATCTTAAGCGACGATAAAGTGTTTTGTAAGTAATGATAGTTTTCGAGTCGAATCATCTCAGAAGGCGTTTTGTGGTGATCTCTGGCGATCCGATTGATGGCATCAAACATAGAGCGCACTAATACTGTATACCAGCGGTCGATATCAGTCCTCCGTTGGACCGCATTCTTGAATATGTTTTCGGCCTGTTTTGCGAAAATCTCAAACCTCTTAATGAATGGCAAAACTCCACATTTGGGACGTTTCGGAGCTTTCGATTCTTCGATAGCGTTTTGTTGCGATGACATAAAGCGATCAAAATTCCTCTTCACTTGAATTAATATATTTCCATAAGCTTTGGTCAGAAAGGATGCCGTGTCTTGAGCTGAGAGCACGTGATGCGTCAGTCTTACCAACAGATACATAGAGTAAAGACCATCTATTTTATCATAAAAAGTGGAAAAACTGATAAATTCTGGTTCGAGAGCCGCAAACAATTCAGTCATCATTGGTCTGATTTGTTCGCTCTTCTTGGAGTCCGCGGTTTCACTACTGCCTTGACTTTGATGTGACGGCGAAGGACTCGAACAGATGGAAGTGTTTGTCACCGATTGGGTGCCAGAAGTGATTTCCAGATCGAAGAACTCGATACAGAATTGTTGTTCAGACAAACAGATGGGATCTACAGCTGAGAGCATCCGTTCGATGCAAGTGTCGAACTCTTCCCATTCACTTAAACTTATTTCTGAACTTCTAGTCGAAGACGTCTCGAAGTGGTCAGAACTGACTGGCGTTCCGGTGGTTGAACCAGAATTTCTTCGGTTAGAGCCATCACTGGCCGGTAATGTCTTTCTCCTGTAGTCAGGATTCTGAGGGGGAGTACTGTTTCCCGAGACATAACGACCTCCAGAGAGACGCTCTTTTGATAACTCAAAGAATAGACTCAATTCTCTTTCGTATTGATTGCTCACAAAATTGCGGTAATTCTTCGCCAAATGGGCAAAGATTTCGGTGTCATTAGTGCGCAACCACTTCACTAAAGGACTGTAAGGTCTGAGCGTATTGTGGATCAGAGAGTGGGACGGAAGTGTCAGTTCTTCCCGAGATATGATTGACAGGAAGTGATCGCTGTATTGATTGGTCAGATGCGAGAAGAGGTTATTCAAGTGATGCGAAAGTCTGGATGAAAACCGAGTGGAAGTCCTATCCAAGAGTTTTCTCTGCTCTTGAACTGCAGTCATGTATGAGAGGGACGGGTGAATGTTGGCGTTCAGTGCCTTTTGCAACGCATTGGCCGACGATATACACAAAGCGATTCCCATTTTGGTGGTGAGGTCTCCCTCCAGAAGAATGTCTTCATCTTTTTTAGGGAAATCCAATTGATTGATAAGGAATTCCAATTCCATCAACAGTTTGGTGTTGTTGTCGTTCTGTGTCTGAACGACTGCCTCCTTCTGTTCCACCTGAAGGACAACATCCCTGACATTCTTCATGAGACTCTCGTAATGACTGATTCTGGTCTCGAGTTTGAGCGTCTCGTCGATGGCGTTCTGAAGGATTTGCATTAAACCCAAAACCCTCTGCTCTGAAGCCATGATATTCTGGATGTTAGTCGAGTCCATGGAATTGACTTCTTTGGTGAGCTGTTCGGTGAAGGCCTCGGCGTTATGTATAGTGAACTCGCACTGAGACATAAGGCGCTCGAGATCTGCTTCTTCGCGACTCGTCAGCGCCTGATATGACTCCTCGTCGTCACTCATGTAGTCATTGGTCTGACTATTGTCTCCATTATTGCCATTCACTGCCAATGGCTTCATCTCGAGACTCTCACTGGACATCAATGACTCTTTGGGAACATTCAAGAATTGGATTCTTTGTGGCGAAGACTTCTGCGATGACAGACGTGTCAGCCATTGGATGAAAGAGTACTTATCGTTAAGACTAGTGGCCATCCATTTGTAGATCTGTTTGTTATGGAAGTGGAGCTCAAACTCCGGAGTGTCCGCCGATTGGCCACACTTTGCGTCCACGACTCGCAAGTCATTCAATGACCAGTTCTTGTGTTTACGGAAGTATTGGTCAGTCTTTTTGATCAAATATATAATGAATTGTCGTTTCATGTCATTCAAGACAATCGTCAAGAAGTAGATCTTCTTCTTCTTATGCGCTTTCGTGACACCGATTAAAGTCATCAGTCGTTCGTCATTGTGTTGAAACACATCCCTCTGCAG